TCCATAACAGTCCCAGCCGAAGTGAGCCATCAGCTGTGCCCACCACCCACACCGGCCCTTGCTGTGGGCATCGCCCCACCGCCACGCCAGGCCTGAATTCCTGGTGGTCTCAATACTCCCGTGACCGTGTTCAACGCCCTGCCCCTCAGTCTCGACCTCTTCTTCCTGCCAAAGGCCTCGCCCTCTGCCCCAATTATGCCCTCGACCCTGTCACCACCAGTAACTGTCCCCTGACCCCCACTCTGGCATTTCGGCTCAACACCCCCTTCTCAGGCCAGCACCTGCCCCAGCTCAGTCCCGCTGACCCTAGCACTCCAGAGCCCCCACGTCCTCACTCCGTTTGGATGCCACAATCACTGCCACCTCTCCCTTGCACACCCCCTTGGCTCAGATGCCCCTTTCAGAAGCTCACTTGGCAAAAGCCCAAACCTGGATAAATCCAACTGTTTTGCTTACTACCCCCAGCCCCGGGCTTCCTGCTGTTCCTCAAAGATCTGCGACCCCATCTCCTCTGGAGCAGAGGCCAAAGCACACACTGTCTCCCGGGCCTGGTCTCTGAGCCTTCCTGCTCTCACTCTCCAAGCTATGGTCTACTCATCCTTCTGGTTAGCATCTGCGTCCTGGGCTGGACCCCAGGCTCTAGGAGCAGGTGGAGAGTGGACGCTCCGAGCTGCGAGTCTCACCCCACGGATAGGAAACCGGGGGTTGAGCCAGAATGAGCAGGTCAGGGACAGCCCACTATGCACACAGGATCTGAACTAGCTTCCAGGTAAACAAAACACCACTCCCCCACCCTACAGGAGAGAAGGCTGAGGAAGGGGGTTTGGGTGCCAAGGAGGCAGACCAAAAGAGGCTCCTAACCAGGGTGGGATCTTGGCAGCCAGGGAGAGGGATTCCGAAGGAGGAATGGACCCTGTAGGCTAGGCTAGACTGGACTGGAGCTCAACTAGAGTGCAGGCAGGTGAGACAGTGGCCACAGGGCCCACGAATGAGCACACACAGGGCCGCTGGCTCTGCTGGAGGGTGGGGTGCTGGGGACATAACACTGCGAGTCTCTCCTTTGGCCACATGGGGCCTGCACAGGGCTGGAGGTGGCACACCCAGAAGCAGAGGGAGGCAGGGCATAAAACCAATACCACATCCCCCCACCCCAGATGGGTAAGAGGCTAGAGGTCAGAGGGAACAGAGTCTCTGAGGACCAGAGACTCTGTGGGGACAGGGTGGAGAGACCAAGCACGCTGGGTGCTAAGGCCCTGAGGGTCAGAGTATCCCTCAACTGGCTGGGTCTTCTGGGAGCCAAAGCAGCCTTGTTGGACCCTGTCCTCTCCTGCAACAAAGTCCCCTCCCCACCTCCCCCACTCCGCCTCCAACCCTCAGTGGGAGATTCAGGGTGGCCTCCAGTGGAGGAGAGCTGAAACTTTCCACAGGCATGAGAATCACCATCTCTCCCAGCTGGACCCCAGGACTGGGGCGCGGCGACCTTGGGGATGTCGGCAGGGGAGGGAGGGGTGCTGGAAAGGA